ATGCAAGAATGGGGAAAAAAGTAAAAGAAAAATAGAAAAGAAAGAAAAAAGATAAAAAGTAGCTTCTGATCTTCTTTACAGCAGTTATAAGTACAATTATAAATTTGCCTCTTACTCTGTGGTTACAAGATAACTCTCTTCTTTCTATAATCTATCCTATCTCATCATCAAAACCATAAATCATAAGTTCATTTTTTTGTTTTACGTAAAAAGTCCATAAGAGGTTTCCAGTCAGCAATAAATGTAGCTATTGTCTTTTCTCTGATCAAAGAAGTCAGTTTAGCCATCTCAGCAAGTTCCATCATCTCAACCAACATTCCTCCATTGTGGATTATTTATTTATTAAATTTATATGCCACCCATCTCCCCCAGAGAACCGAATCTTTCCATCTTTGTGCATGCAATAACCTCACGGCAGTTACCATGTACAAAAACAAAGTTCCATTACATTATTTGTGCTTTCAGTGAAGTGTAAATCAATCTTACCCGTTTTATAAAGTTCTGTCCAAAATTCATATCTTCCAAAACCTTGAACAAGAAAGCCCACTCAAACTGTCAAAGGCCTTCTCTGCATCTAAGAAAATCAATGTGGCTTGTTTTGCATTATGTTGCTTCAAATATTCCAAAATGTCCAACACATTTCTAACATTGTCCTTTAACTGTCTTTTAGGTGAATACCCACATTGATCCTCATGAATAAATTCTTGCGAAATTGTTTTCAGTCTATTAGCTAGAATCATTGTGAACAACTTGTCATTATTCAAGAATGATATTGGCCTCTAGTTTCTTGTTAAAGTCATATCTCATCCCTCTCTATGTAGTAGTGTTATATTGCTCTCTTTCCAACTCCCTGGCATTTTTCCTCCCTGTAAGATAGAGTTCATCGTGTTTTGTAAGGGCTGTAAAACTTCATCCTCAAAAGAGTTATAAGAAGAAGCTTGTAATCCATCTGGTCCAGGCACCTTTCCTAGTTTAATCTTTTTTATAGCTTGAAGGGAAGTTTCTGAAAAGGGAAGTCTACGCATCTTGAAGTTGCCAAGGTTGAGAAACACTGGTATAAAATAAAATTAGGATGCTGAAGACAGAAGTTCTTCTGTAGAACCTAGCTGGTTGCTTCTGCTGTTCCTTATAAAGTGATCTGTATAGAACAACAGGCTTTCTATATCGTTTCCTCTTGTCTCTTTTCAGATGATTTCTCTCCTTCACCTGGAAGCTGATGTCTGCAGGAAGAAGGGAGGACTGTATCATTCACACACCCCTGCTGGGTGTCCACGCCAGAAACTGCAGTCTTGTTGAAATACTGACATGGCAATGGAAATTCAGTGTGCTCAAAAGAACTTTTTTTCCTCCACCAGAAAGGAAAAGCAACAACTTTATCCAAAAAAACAAAAACAAACCCAACAGCAAAGATTGCCTTAACTGTATATTCTGGAACTGTCAATGCATATCTTTCAGTGGGAGGTGGGGGGAGAGTTATAAGTGGCTTGTGTTCACAAAAGGCCAGCAGAAGAAATTGTGCCTATGCGTTTCTTTTTCTTTTTCTTTTTTCTTTTTTTTTTAAAAGAACATTAGTTACAATAATTTTTTAAATGTAGAACAAACATAGTAATGCCTTTTTTTGTTTTTTTAAAGCTTCCTTTGCATCTCTGTTTTGTAAGCAACAACAAAAAAAAATGTAAAAAGAGAGAGAGAAAGAGACTTGACTGATTCCCCATGCCTTTTTCTGCTGCTGTTTCTATAGTTAATGTTGCATATTATTTTTTAAATAAGATCAACCAGAAATATTAAAAGTTTGTATTAAGAGACTGGATGTTTTTTAAAAAAAAAAAAAGAAAAGAAACGAAAGAAGAGGTTGGTACAAGAGAGATTGTGTTTTGGCTCTGAGAGAGTCACGTGCATTTAGCTAGGCAGGTTAATAAAATCTTCACTTGGCTAGTAGCTTCTATGATTTAAAGAGAGAGCAAGAGAGAAAGAGAGAGAGAGAATCTGCCGATATCATCTCACTTCCTTTTTGCCACGTGGAATATTGGAGGGGTTGGAGGGAGAGGGCAAATGAATCCATCAGCTGCTAGTCTGTGTGTCTTGTGGCTTTTCATCCAAAGGATGTACCCAGTAGCAATTCTTGGAAGCTTTCTGTTTTGTCCTGCCCTCTCCCATCTTCCTCGCCACCCAATTTACAGTCCCTTCTAACAAAAGAAAAAGAACAACACACAGCATTTCTGAACATTTGCCAGAAAACATGGATTTGAATCGGGTGGCAGCGTCTGGGAACTCGCAAAAGTAGTCTTCGGAAGGCCCTAAGGACGCGGAGAACCACTTGCCTTTTTTAAGCACCGGCACAAATTGATGTGGAACAAAAGGAAGCAAAAGATCCTGGCAGGTTATAATCAGAACAAAGACCTCACGGGAGAAAAGGAACAAGAAAGCCTCGTCCAGCAAATATATATATATATTTATATATATCCAGCAAATATATATAAATACATATATATCCAGAGAGGGAGAGGGAGACACGTGCCGTGCAGAGTCCCAAGTCGCTGTTGTGAAAACACACCTAGACACACAGTCATGCACACACCAAAGAAGATGCATCAACGAACTCTCGTATCCAGCATGGCAATGCTCCATGGGTATTCAGAACACACTGCCATCACCGTTGCATTTCAGCAGCCCAGAACATGCTGGCGGGGCTGATCAAACTCTCCCCTGCTCCCTGCATGCTCTTGTGGAAGATCTTCCCCCTCTTTTCATGGACAGTGAAGGACAAGGTGGATGTCTCCCTGATTCCAGAGAAGTCCCTGTAAGACTGCCCCACACCAGGGGAGGGGCCGAGTAAGAAAGGCGTCCTGTGGCCCCTCTGCAAGGGTCCGATTCACCCCTTTGTCATTCCTCTGTTTGGCAGCCGACGCGTAGCTAAAGTATTGCCTTGGGTTACTAGGTACTTGGAGCTAGCCGAAGGGAGCGTGGTCTCCAAACGTGAGCCACCACATTCTCACCGCCTGTCGCTTTTTACAACTGGAGAAGAGGATGTAGCATCTGCTGGTAACCATGCAGCCGCTTCTCTTTCCTCTAATGCCATTGAGAGAGGTTTACCATAAAGGGCTCCGTGGGGGTGACTCCTGCTGAATCTGCAAAATGTCTGCCTCGACCTCTCTAAAAAAGAGAAAAGGCCAGACATTGTACCCTTCTATTACGAAGGATACCCTGTAGAACTAGCTGAGCGAAGCTGACAGTGGTCTCCTCTGCTTGTCATCTCCTCTGACCTAATTGCAGAGTTCTTGTTTTCCGACCGCAGGAGTGGGCATATGTTCAATGCGGCTCTTCTGCACAAAACTGGAAGTAGGAGGAAAGTTCTCAAGGAAGTAGGAGAGGAAAAACTCTGTGCCAGCCTGGCGAAGGTCACCCGGAGAACCCTGCCCTTCCCTCTGTTCCCTCTTTCTGCTCCATGGGCCAATTTGGAAAGCAGGATGGGGTTGACGCTGGGTCCAAATGGCTTTGCACGGACTGAGTGTGCAGAATGGCATGTGCAATCCCACAGGGGAAAGCCTCGTGTGGCTACAACTATGTTTCATACCACCACCTTGGCGATGTGGTGGTGCAAAGCAGAAAGGGTGGCCGTGTCCTCCTAGTGCCAGATCTTCCCAAATCTCTTTCTAGTCCACCAGCATGAAACGAGCTTTTCCTTTAATTATTTTTTGTTTTTTGTTTTGTTTTGTTTTGATTGCTTAAAAGTATTTCTGTTGAAAGGGGAGCACCTTTCCAAGGGTATGTCTACACTACAAGCTCTAAGCCAGTTTCAGACCGGTTTAACTGTCTGGAGGAATCCTGCAGGTTGATGAGGATGCTAAGAGCTCTTGGCTCATGATTGTCCTCTCATTCCCAACAGGACCCTCCTCTTAGGACTACAATCTGCAGGTTCCCTTTATTTGGAAGCTGCTGTAGCTAGAAACGGGTTTGAAACAAGTTTAGGTTTGTGATATAGATATGTCCCAAAGTCTCTTGGGATATTTATTTCTCTGGGGGAGGGGGGAATTGTGGGGTTTAGGAGACAAAAAGGGACAAACAGAAAAAAAAAAAAGTTGTGGGGCAAAACAACGTCATGGGAAAATGTAATGTGTTTTGTTAACAAAAATAGGGGTTCAAGCAATGCAGAGAACAAAATGTAACTTGATTCCCGTTAAGATATATTTTTTTAGAAGGGATGGGGAAGGCTGTATATCTTTCAGCCCTTGTAGATTGTTTTAAGGGTTCTTTTGTTATTACAGCTTTTTTTTATATTAAAAAATGATTTTTTTGCTTTTGAGGGGGTAGCCCCAAGCCAGATACAGTTAATCATGGCAATGTCTTATGGAAATGAATGGACTAACTTGAGACCTTAAGCGGAACTTAAGTTTTATCTAACTGTATTTGGGTTGGCGCTTTGGTGTCTGCTGCCTATGTGTAAAAATCCAGCTGTACGTAACTGGCTGAGATCCTTGTTATTAAATCAGATACACATTATAGTTTTTAAAGATATATATATATATAGTATAAATAAATAAATATATATATATATATATATATGCCTAACACCAATAAAAAAGGGAAAAAGGAAAAAAAGTATTGGGGGGAGGGAAAGGGGTAAGATAGTTTAAAAAATAAATGTTTTGGACTGATTCAGAATTTCTGGGATGGGGAGCACGGGGGTTAAAGTTGTGTTTCTGAGTGCCTCAAGATATGGATTGTGTTCATTTTTTAAAAAATATATATATAATAATTTTATACAAGTGTCAAGAAAAAAAAACAGCTGGCTGGATTATTTGGAATTTTTAAATAATCCTTAACTTTTTTAAAAGTAGAATTTTGAGAACTGTCCTGTATATAACAGTAATGTAGCAATAAATGTGACATTTTATAACAATATTACCTTCCCCCCCTCCCCATATCTGTCTTTCAGATGTTGTATACCTATCAATGAAAAAAAAAGTTGTAATAAAGGTTTTACCTTGTACTAAACTGCTTCTGGTTGTCTGACTTTTTGTTTCCATCACACGCTGGACTGAATTTTGGAAACAGGTTGTTGCAAGTGGAATGGTGCTTCTGCTTGTTCTTTTCCCTGTAAGCCATGCCCCTCAAATCATCACACAGAACAAAATGAAGGTGCATTTTTATAGGAGAAAATGTTCATCACGGAGGGAAAACAAGCAAGACTGCATTGGCATCTTTCTTGCTATCTGTTAAAAATAAAATCTGGAACTAGAGTTCCCCTTTGTGCACTGGGCAAAAATCAGATCGCTGAAAAAATACACATATTTGTATTTATTTATTTATTTATTAAATTTATGTAGCCACCCATCTCACATATGTGACTGTGGGCGGCGCACATAATTAAAATAACAAAAACCAAACAAAAAGATTAAAAAGCAAAACCATTAAAATACATGTAAAATACATGTTAAAAACTCTGGTGGTGGTGGTATTCAGTCATTAAGTCGTGTCCGACTCTTTGTGACCCCATGAACCATATTGCGCCAGGCCTGTAAAAACTGTAAGTAGACACAAAACACTGAAGAGTCCATTCCAAAAGTAACCTCTCTGCAGGCTCTGTCTTTCCCCAGGCTTGCTGGAAAAGTCACGTTTTAAGGGATTTCCAGAAGGTCAGGAGCAACCTCGCCTCGGGGAGGGATGATGTTCCAAAGGACGGGTGCCACGGCAGAAAAGGCCCTCCTCCTGGGTCCTGGCAGATGAAGCTCCTTAGCAGACAGGACCTGCGACGTGCCCCTCCCAGACCTGATAGGATGGGTAGACGTAACTGGAGGGAGGTGGTCCCTCAAATAATCCGGCCCCCTGCCATGTAGGGCTTCAACAGTCATAACCAGCACCTTGACTTGAAACTGGAAGCAGACTGACCACCAATGCAGCTGGCAGAGCAGAGGTATGACGTGCGGTTCTAGGGGCACACATAACTGCCCACATGACCACATTTTGCACCAGCTGAAGCTTCCGGATGCTCTTCAAGGGCAGCCCCATGTAGGGTGCATTACAGTAGTCCCTTCAGGAGGTGACAGGGGCATGAGTGACTGAGAGTACAGCCTCCCGATCCAGGAACGGGCACAACTGGCACACAACACAAAGTGGTGCGATTGATACCTGCTGGATGTCAGTCCCTTGAGCAACGGCTAACGCAGAGCAATTCTTTCCAATTCCAATTTTCATAGTCTCTGTCTTCAGCTCCCAAAACACACCTGTCTAAATATGCCTGTCACTTCCGCACAATATCTAAAAAGCTGTGATGGAATGGAATTATGAAGGCCAGGCTCAGGGAGAAAAACATTTTCTTTCATCTCCTGA